CCACCTCCCCTCCCCCCATGAAGTGTGTCCGGTATTTTTTTTATGACTATCTGGTAACCCTACTCCCTGCTGCTCCTATTCTTTACTGTGGAAGGCATAGGCTTCATTTCAGCAACACCAATTGCTGTCATTCGGAAACAGCAAGGTTCATTTGCAATATTTAAGGATTAGCATCACAGTCTTGAATAGTGGTAGCTATGCGTTATACCTGATTAGCAGCTCTCAACAATGCTTCGTTATTTATCTTCCCTCCTCCTCCTCCTGAGCCCCCCTAAATCAAAGGTGAAAAACGTGGGCAAGCTTTCCAGTTTGCATTCTTCTTCTGCCAGTGAATATCCACTTCAACTAAGTTATGCATTACATAGAAGGTGTGAAACGCCAATATGAGAAGTTATGTCACGGAACAGCACGACAGTTCTGCAGATGTACAGGGAGTGAGGCTTGTATAAACAGCTGCAGCAGCAACGCTTGTTACTGAACAACCTATTAGTACAAGCAGGCTGACTTCCAATCTATCAGGTTTTTTCTTTAATCCTGAATGCACTAAATCCACATTCCAGGAAGATCTGACTCCACAGCTCTGTCCTGGTCTCATCCCTAATTTGTGCTTGCGCTGTATTTCTTATCTCATGAGAAGAGCTTTCATTGAACAGAGGTGAGACAGCAACTGCATTCAGCATTTCTGTTAATGAAAACTGATGAAAGCCTCTGCTGATTTGTCTACATTAATCCCCTGGGATTCTTTGAAAGTAGCAAATGCACATCCAGTGTTTGACCAACACAATTAGAAGTGGAAAGCCCAACTGTTTGAGACTAATTAAAATAAATGCTTATGTTATGGTCCCTGCTCATGCTCCCTGAGGCATTACCTATAGTGAAATTCACTAAATTAAATATAAATACAAAAATAGCTATATGAAGAAATAATCCAGCTTTGTTTTCCTTAAAAATATTTACCAGTAAACCCACATAATTTTATTATACTTTTTTGTAGGGTTTTCATTTTTTCCCAGAAGTTGGTGCAGTTGGTTCCACTGCTTAATAAAAATCATGGACATGATAAAGAGAGTGGATTTATGGCTCATTACAACAATCTGTTACCCACTAACTCTCCTTTCTTCTCTGATTTCAGACATGTTAATGGCACACGCTTCATCTTAGATGATGTCTTGCTTTGTTGACTCCTTATATTTGTATTTAGCTACAACACCCCGAGTGCCTTCCCCAGACCTGAAGAGATCTGTGTTAGATCAAAAGCTTGTCTATTTCAATAAAAAAAAGTTGGGTCCAGTAAAAGATGTTACCTACTCCACCTTGTTTGATTTTTTCCAGAAGACCTTTTCTATAAAAAGAAAAGAGAGACCTGGAAGAACTGATCCCAAATATTATTAGCTGGGGAAGTTCTGCAGGTCCAATAGCAGATTAGTATTTATTCTGGTTGGGTAAAGGGATCTGTGCAGGCTCAAAAGTCAGAGTTTCACAAGTGTTATTAAGGGTCAATACAAGTGACCATGTCACCTACACAATTTCTCAGAAGAATATAGTGTCATTCAGCATCACAAGTGCCAGCAACACGTTACAGAATCAGACTGTCAAAGGCAGAGACAGTATAGCTGGGGGTGTATGTTACTGAGGAAAAGTCAATTTCACTCGCAGGCTCACAACAGTTGCCTTGTAAATTAGTGCTCTGAACTGCTATTGCAACCTCACTTCCTGTGCCAGCAGAAAATAGGAGCAGCATAGTAAAGTGAGTAAACTCAGCCCTGGTGGAAGGGTAGCAGTCTGTACTGCCATCAGAGATGCCTTTATATAAAGTAAGAGTAGCACCAATGTGCTGCAAAAGGGAGCCCCAACCACCCTTCTTTATCTGGAGCCCTTAAGGAAGACAGAGCACAAACTGGAGAGGGGGAAAAACAAGCAAGCACCAGATTATAAAGCAATAAAAACATCTGTGCATGCAAACAACCCTCTCCTCAAAGACCTATGGATCAGATTTTCCAGTGCTTCAGTCCCTCCCACTGTATAACATGGGTGCTATATCAGAAAAATAGCACTTGACAGCCCTATGAACAGGTGTAAAAGAGAACACCAGGTTAAATGCAGTGGAGACCTAATTCTTCCCCTCTTGGTGTCCCTCAAAATTTAAACACAAGTCAATCTTATTAAAAGTAACTAAAATCCTGCTAAGACTGTCCTGCTAGTTCTCAGCTCTAGCATCGCAGTCCTGTCAGATATGAGCTTTCCTGGATTCTCTCTATAAAGGATGTTAAATTGCGATTATCTAACAATCGTGTCATCGATACAATTTGTATCGACTACATGACTAGTCGATAAGGTCTGCTCTGCAGAGCCGCAGCGGGATAGCTCCGGGAGCCGGCTCAAGCTGGGATTGAGCAGTCCTGGCTCGTGCCAGCTCTGGGAACCACCTGCGCTGCAGCTCTGCATTTTGTCGTAAGAACTGCTGGGCTCTTACTACATTTAAAATGCAGAGGAGCAGCGTCCTGGACCAGTGTGAGCCAAGACTGCTCGGTCCCAGCTTGTGCTGAGTCCAGCAGCCAGCCCTGTCTGCCATGAATAGGGGCTACTGCCGGAGCAGCCTCTGTTCACTGAGAACAGAGGCTGCTGTTTGTGGCAGCCAGAGCTGGCCACGGACAAGGGTTGCTGCCAGAGCAGCCTCTACTCACTGCGAGCCTTTTAAGTTGGCTCCCTGCCATCACCAGCTCCTGTTCTGCCCCCTTGCTACCACAGAGGCAGCAGGGGCGGGAGGGGTGAAAGGAAGCAAGTAGTCAAGACTCCAGTCAACTACCCGATAAGCTTTTGCTTATTGGATAGTCAACTACTCGCTTATATCCCTACTCTCAACAACCTTACCTAGGAGAGCCATGGGACTGGAGTCAGTATCTGTGAGCAATAGATGCTAGCTACACTTTGTTATTTCAGCAGTAAATAAGATAATTTGCTGAATAAACATTTTGCCCCATTTACATTCCCCCCTAACGTCACTCAGAAACATATTACTGCCCCATTCTTTCTAGGAGGAAGTCAGCGGCTTGAGTAGAGTCTTTAAAATGTTTCCTAGCTTGCCATAAAGACACCAGAGTGTTTACTTAAGCAGTCAGAACTTTTATTCTTTCTTAGTCGTGTGGTAGGTAGATCTTGCATGGAATCAGCAGCCTGTTTCCAGACACCACCTGGTCACTTGATGCCAGGGCTCAGGATTTGTGACCACCAAAATCCAGAGTTTAAATTATTTCCATAGCACTCACAGTTTCTTAGAAACCCAGAGTGCCCTATTCCCTCACCACATGACACAAATAACTGAATGACTCCAACAGAAGTCATGAGGATCCTTCACAGTGATGAACAGGACTCAGGGTTCCTGAGACTATGCTCATTAGTCAGTCTTTCACTCCAACCACTTTGCTCACTTAGTAGTCAGAAACAAAGAGAACGCAAGCTCGAGTAATTTGTCTCCTCCAGTATTGTTACCTCTTTCCTCTCCACGTCGGCTTGGATTTTCGCTTGAGTAACAGCAGCCTCCCGGAAAGAGGAGCTGGCTTGTTTAGCCTGTTCAATCAGGGTCTTCAGTTGCTGGGCTGTGTTGAGTAAGGAGTTGACCATCTCCTCCAGGTACAGCCAGCTCCGTTGCTCTGTCATCTCTAGGCCGTTCACCACTGAGGGGGATATGGCTTTCATGGGAGTAGTGGGTGGCACAGCCAGGGCAGGAAGGGACGTCAACACTGAATATTAAGAAAGCAAAACAAAGCACACAAGATTGAAGGATTTCAACTCCATAAGATGCTGCTTTTCATATCTCAATCAGAAGTTCAATTCAACTAAGACCCAGTTAAATGCATATCAAGCCACTCGAAAGACCAGTGACTGAGCTGTGTGAAGTGATCCCTTGTGGAACTTTCAATTTGAGGGCTGATAAACATAAGCTTTTAAAAAACTTAACTCAGGGTGGTAGAAGGCTCTATCACTTATTAGCGGGGAGGAATTAGCGCTAGTGCAACTCTAGTGAAGCCTAATGGTAGTCAAGTGGACAACTGAGGTTTTTGGAAATTAGGTAGGCATGCAAGACAGATTTGGCCTTAGGAGAAGCATGTTAATTGGCTGTTTCTGCACAATAATCAGCAGCAAAATAGTTAAGGTTGTCATCTGTCACCTTTGGGTTTCCCTGCTAACTACATATTCACATGAAGGTGTGTGGAGGCAGTTCATGCTCATGGCTATTGCTTCAGTCTGTCTGCAAAACTGAAGACGACAAATTGCATTCATTTGCATCTAATTCACATTTCGGAGGGTTGCTTCACAACCATGAGAATTAGAAACATTTTTAATTTTTTAAAATGATAACTTGGATTCCAGAGCATAACTCTGCAGCACAATTCCGAGAAAAATCCCTGGCCACAAAATCCACAGAACCTGCATATACTGAAAAACTCTTTGAGGGATGAAATTCCCATTGTTGGAAAATGTAGCAAACCTTTTAGAAACCTTATGGAGAAAGATAAAGGTGCAATAAGACAGTCAGGTAGGCTTGTACTGTAGCCAAAATGTTCAAAATTGCAGCATGCTGAAAGTTCATCACTGACATTCATATTTAAGTTTGATTTTCAGAGATGCTCAATGTACATTAGTAGGAGTAGGGAGGATTCAGCTCCTCTGAAAATCAGGTGTCCTATATAATTGCCTAAAATTGAAGTAGGTGACTTACTTCAAAAATCCACGTTTGAAAATGATGACCTGTTACTATGCCCTTTGTAAAATGAGTTTAGTGGGGGTCACATAGGATAGAGTGTATCTGCTCAGATCCACACACACACTCTTGTTCTTCGCTTCACAGAAGGAGTCAGCAAGTGGTGTTCCTATTCCTGCTACAGTGGCTCAACTGGAGCCCTTCCAGCTTAAGGAGAAAGGATTATCTTCATATTCTCATCAGCACAGGACAACTGGAAGGACAGGCATGCCAGAAACTCTAGCTAATAGCTTCATTTGGTATAAGCAGATGGGTCTGCGACCTGACAAGTGCAATCATAGGCCACAAAGGTATGGATAAACAGGAGCAAATGCAACAGCCAAGACTACCCTTTATTTGCCATATTCTCACATGAAGCAAATAGTTAGGAAGGAGGTAAGACTGACCGTTGCAGCGGCGTGCCAACCCCTTCTCCCATTAAAAACATTTACACACATGGGCTACGTCTAGACTGGCAGGATTTTCCGGAAATGCTTTTAACGGAAAAGTTTTCCATTAAAAGCATTTTCGGAAAAGAGTGTCTAGATTGGCACGGACGCTTTTCTGCAAAAAAGCCCCAATCGCCATTTTCGTGATTGGGGCTTTTTTGCAGAAAACAAATCTCTGCTGTCTACACTTTTGCCCGAACAGGAGCAGCATAGTATTTCCGCAAGAAGCACTGATTTCTTACAGTAGGAAGTCAGTGCTTTTGCGGAAATTCAAGCGGCCAGTGTAGACACAGCCATAATGTGAACAGGTAACCGGTTAACTGGTTACCTACTAAGCATCACCTTTAATGAGCCTTGAATGCTAGGAATTAGCAGCTCCCCACTTCCAAACCGCACAAGGCTGCCAACTCCCAACCCGTGTGGGCTGGGAACCGTAGCCCAGCACGGACGGGGTCGGAAGCAACCAGGCTGGAGCAGCCCCAGCTCATGGTGTGGGGGCTGCTCCAGCCCAGCGAGCTGAAATGTTTCCCTCCCCACATTTAATCAGTTAAACTTAATGTTTAAACAGTTAACTAAATTATACAGGTTTTTATATATACCCACACATCCTATCTTCCACACCTCTCCCTCTCCCTCTCCCTCGCCCTCTCCCTCACACACACACAAAATTTTCTACACCTTTAAAAATATCCCTACATGTAAGAACATCTGGAAACTAAGTTCAGGTAATCAGGCAATTCCCCACTGCTTCATATTCCATCTTTACATATTCTTACTGTAGGAATATGTAAGAATATGTATCTCATCATTGGAACCAACACAAAATGGAGCAGGGACCAAATTCTTATGCATTGTCTTTGCCAGTGTTAAAGGTTCATGCCAAACAGACTCATGTATCACAAGGGAGGCTGGCTGCACTAGCATCCACTGTAGAACAGAATCTTTAATCAAAATATTATATTAATTCAGAATGATGAACATTTAACAGACTCTGACTGCATCCTCACAAAACTGATATTCTAAATCTCTCTGGGAGTCTAAATATAGCTACGTCAGACACACATGCTACAGCAAGGGTGCATTAGAAATAGGGATGTGAATGTTTAACTGGTTAACTGCTGGGAGTTGGAGCAGCTTGCCACTTGCAGAGAGCAGGAGGCTGCTCCAGCCCCACGGGGTGGGGAAGTGGAGAGTGAGGGAGGGTGCTGCAGACAGGGGCTGCTCTGGCTGGGCTTGAGCAGCCTCTGCCCGCAGCAGGTCCAGGCACCCTGCAGGCAAGGCTTGCTCCAGCATCCCAGCTGATACATCCTTTGTCCATAGTGGGCCTGGTCCGCAGCAGGGGAGGAGCACTGCTTAAGCCCAGCGGTGTCTCTCTCCCACCCTCCCTTTAATTGGTTAATCGGTTAAACAACATAACCAATTAAACAGGATTTTACATCACTAATTACAAAGAACATACACATCAATTTTTCTTTGCTTCGTGCCATGAGTTTTTCATATTTACCATATTGCTAAAAAGGCCTACGAAGGAATTTAGCAAAATCTTACCAACTTTCAGAATGCATTAGCTAACCTTGTGGGTGTCAGAGGAAGAGTATCTACGAACTGCAGTGATAAGATGAAAACTGAATTAATTCCAGATTTACAAGGCAAACAGCTGCTCCTATTATTAATCAGGCTGTGGATGGGGGGCATCCAGTACTGAAATAAGTTCACATTAACTGTTAAAAGAAGATTATTCCACTGGTTCACTGAAGCTATGTTGGAATGAACCATGCAGTGACATAAGACAGAGATGTTGTACATTGCAAGGTAAAGTGGCTAAGGGCACTCAGGAACCTCTCATGTGTGTCTTTTATGATCCACTAACTTTTAGCATAGATTTCTGGTTTCTTCTTCAGTTGGACACACCCCTAAACACTCTGAGCGGGTGAATTCACTTTCACCGGGGAACCTTGCTGGAACCATTCACTGGCCTACAAAGGATTAAAGGCCCCTTATGCCATATTTTACAGATTCAAAATTGTGTTCAACACATTCAGCTCCCTGTGAAATCTTACTCAATTTGAGGAACCATCCTTAACATCATTTTAGCTAAAAATCCACCAAAATGACCTTCTTGATCAGATCTGTAAGTTATAGACATATGTGACACGATCGGGTACTCTATGTCAAGAATTCTTCCCTGTCAATATACTGACAAAGTCTCTTGCTGGTATGTTTCACTGTGAAAATGAAAAAGCTCCCTATGCCCTGTGCTGCTGCCTCTCTGACAGAGAGGCAGCAGCACAGGGAAGGGAGGGCGGCTCCCTGCGAGCACCAACTCCAACCTGCCTCCCTGTGTGTAAACATGTAACCTCTCAGCGGTTACAAGTTTGCAAAAATAAACGTTAACATTCCTACTGACAGGTAGCACTGCAAGTGCAGGAACATAAAGCAGATGACCAACATTCTGCCCTAAAGTCCTTATTAAGACAGTAAATTAAACAGATGTTTGCATACTACAAATCACAGTGCTATTTGTAATTAGTGGCAGACAGGAGACCTGCCTTCTTTCATAAGAGATTGTTTGCCAACAAACTCTTCCAATGCTGGATTTTCTACTCAGTAAGGACTACAGCTTGACATTTGATAACACTATCTAATAGGAAGTATTTGTGCTCTCTCATTGTTAGCTCAAGAATCAGTAAATACCAGTCATTGTTTACAAACTTCATTCACTTCCTTTGTGAAGAGATCAATATTTAATGAATAGACTCAAGCCCTGAAAGACCAGCAAACATTTTTGCCAGACCAGAAATTTATCACATTGCTCCACCTAGTGGTGCAAAGTGTAGCTGTAAAATGTCACACGCTACTTTAGGATTCAAAATAATCAATGTCTGGATAGATATAGTATATTACAGTGTTTCCCAATTTTATTTGGCTGAGGAACGCTTTTCAGCTTTTCAAATTTTCAAGGAACCCCTAGGTTTGTCAAGCAAAAAAAAGGGGTGGGGGTGGGGGAGGAGAGAGGGACCCACCAATTCATGACCCAAGACCCCCCCCCCCCCATCTCCTTTCTGTGAGGCCTCATCCGCTCTGTTCCCCTCCTCTCCATCACTTGCTATACCCAGCCCTTATACTTGTCTCAACCTAGTGAGTGAGATGCGGGGTGGGAATGAGGGATTTGGGGTGTGGGAAGGGGTGAGAAGTACAAGCTCTGGGAGGGAATTTGGAAGCAGGAGAAAGGGCTGTTGACTCAGGGAGGGGGCTCTAGGCTGGGGAGTGTTGGGTTCAGGTGGAAGGTTGGGGTGCTGAGCAAGCCAGGGCTTGTGGATATGAGGGTGCAGGAGTTTGGGCTGGATATGTGAGGGACTCAGGGCAATAAGGTTGTGAGTATGATGGGCTCAGGACACAGATTTGTGATGTGTGGATGGTGGAGAAACGTTGTGGCAGAAGACTGAGGATGTGGGGATGCAGGAGTGTGGGGATGTAAGAGGCTCAGGACGGGGGTTCCAGTGTATGATAGGCTCAGATTTGGGGTCAGGTGGTGCAGGAGTGTTATGAT